AAGCAGGCGCTGCCGCCGCTCGAGCCTCCACAGATTGGGCCCGCAGGGAGCTCTGCAACCTACTGGGTTACATATCAACAGCCATATGGTCATCTGCATTTTAATTGCAGAAGCTTTATTGCCGGGGATGATGCATGTGCTGGAACGGCACCAGCTTGTCTCTCCGAGCCGGGGCTGCAGGGCCGCCTGCTAGAAAAATCATCTTTTTTCCTTTTAAATAGACTTGCCAGGGAAAGGGCTGAGAGCCCTGGCATAGCGCTTGTGAAAGAGGTGCTGTAGGCGCGGCGTCAGGGGTAAAATTGTGCTCGAAAAATCACACTCAGGGCATGGCAGAGGCTTCCTCTGGCCTGGGGGGCAGAGGGACGCTCTCCCCAGCATGGGGATTTTTTTCGCCCAGTTTGGGGCACTGGAAAGGGAAGAAGGAGCGGCCGGATCCCATCTCAACGCAGCGCTAACCCTACGCAGGAGCAGCTCCCACCACGCTGCCCCTGCCAGGCGCCTGCTCCCTCACCGGGGAGCCGGGCTGGGGCCGAAAGCCGCATCTGGCAGCTCAGCGAGCCCCGGGGGCAATCCAAATCCCCAAATGGAAGCGTGAAGGTTCTTACTATAAAGCACATCAAACACTTCCTCTACCATCTTCCTGAGGAGGTACACGTCTGATCCCTGGTCCGGGGAGACCCTGAGCACGCTTCGCCCGCACTCCTTTGCCTTCTTCTGCGCCCCCGCGTCCTGCTCCTTCCTCTGCTGGACTCCTGCGGGGGGGAGAGGAGAAAACGGGAGACGCTGTGGTGAGGAGAGGGTTCACAGGCGATGCCGTGCGCGCTTTGCGGCAGCTGCGAAGTGATCGAACCCACCGGCCGAGTTACACCCACCAGCCAGGGCTGAGCACATCCCTGCCCACCAAACCCCACACAAGACAGGGGTCCCGTGGGGGCCAGCCTCCTGCCACCCCCACACCATCAGCAAAGTCCTCTGGCCGGGCAGGTGGGTGCCCCGCGTGTCTGACCCACCCCAGCCCCCCAGCTCGGCTGGGGCCATGGCCCCCGGCAGCCCCCGGCGTGCAGGGAAAGGTGCCGGCACGGGCAGCGGAGCCAGCAGCGCAGCCGGGAGCAGGGTTGGTCCCCGTCAGCCGGGGACATGCTCATCCCATACGTGCCCCCCCCTTCCCTAGTTTTACCCACTCAGCTGCACTGAAACTGTTGTGATTAATTGGGCAGCGCATTTCTTTTCTCTGGTTTCAATCTGCTTAGCCCTCAATCTCTCAGGAAAAGAAAATCCGCCTTTCTTGGAGGCTTTTTTACCCTTCAGCGTCACGTAGCTTGGTAATACCAGCTATTTCCTGCTAATTTCCCCCATTAAACCTCAAATAAAGCATATCTTCGGCAACGACTTCCTTGCATCTCTAAACGCACAGAAAATTTAACACTACAAGTGCATTATTGCCGTTCTATCCAAAGCGATTCACAAGGGATTTTCGGTGGCGAAGGACTAATTCCTTCATCATCCTCGACAGGCTCCTGCCAGTGATCGGCCCTGGTGCTGCCTGGGTGCTCAAGGAGGAGCTTGTGGAAACAGCCCGTGACTGGGACATCACTGGGATGGGGGCGAGAGCCACCCTGGGTACCTACAGAGCGAGACATAAGAAAGGGGACAAGCCACCCAGCACCACGCAACCCCTGGGAAGCTCCGCATCCCTCCCACGGCGTGGCAGAACAGGCCCTGGAAAACTTTTTTGAGGTGTTTCACCAAGGTGGTGAAAGGCATCTGCATCCATGCCCTCCTACAACGGACTCTCCCTCCTGGCTGGGCGCTAACTCTCTTCTGTTGACATTAATCCTGATCACTGTCGAGTTCCCGCCATGCGCCAGGAGAGGCTGAGCCAGAGGTTCAGATAAAGGAGGGTGTTCAGCGAGGTCTGCGCGCCCAGAGAGATAAGAGGCTTCTTGCATCTCCCAGCGATGTCCGCTTTAGATTATTTCAGATCCTTTCTAAGGGGGCAGCTAGAACATAAATCAGAGGCACTTCCAGGGATGCTTTCCACTGCGTGCCAGTTGTAAGAGCTTTATGGAGCAGAGTTGAGCCTGGGCCATTTATAATTCAAGACGGAGTTATCACGTTTCACCCTGTCTCCAGCATCAGCCGCTTCGCCCGAAATCCATCGTGAAGATTTTGTGCTTTCAACCAGACGTGACCATTTCATGTTGACAAAGGTGTAAATGAAACCAAAGGAGAGGGGAATCGGGATCTAACATCGGGTGCCTTGCCCCAGCACAGCGGTAGGTCACCAGCCAGGATATATGTGTATATATATATATATATTTCTAAAAGTGAGATTTGCAGATGGTCATTAATACTGTCAGCTCTAGGGAGACACGGCTGGGATTCCATATATGAGGTCCATCCCCTGGGCCACCCCGCTGCCGCTCACCGCTCGGGGACCGCCCTGTCTCTCTGGAGGCAGAGGCACCCGAGAAAGCAGGGAATGTCCCCAAAATGCCTCCCGTCCTGCGAAACACAGCGCGCCAAGGCGGAGGATAACTAGCGGCGGCTCTCCCGCCCGGCGCGGTGGCAGGCAGCTGCCCGCGGCGGGCAGGACGGGCGGGCAGAGCGCAGCCTTGGCAGCCAGCCGCTCCTGCAAGGCCGTGTCCGCTCACCCCGCACGCGTGCGGCCAATAACCGGAGCAGACAGCGGCCCTGGCAGCTTTACAGCGCTGATGTTTTCACTAGAGCGAACCCTTCCTGAGCAATCTCTCCAACGGATTAAGCACCAATATGGTTTCCATCAACACCACGCGTGTGCGCACACAGCCTGGTCGCTTCTCTCCAGTGACATCCCGCTGTGGGCTGCGTGTGCCAGCAGATCCAGCTTTGGGGGCCCCTCCAGCACCACCAAAGCCAGCTCCCATCCCAGCTCCCGCACAGAGTGGGGAAAGAAGTGGTTGGTGCTCCGAGGATGATGCCATCCAAGAAATGCACGTCCCCATTCACAGCACAGCTCCCACCTTGCCCTCAGTTCCCAGGTTGTTTTCGGGGAGCCGGCACAGAGGGCTGGGTGCCAGCCTCACCACGTGCAAGGCTGCTGCCAACCCACACATCCCTGCGACACCTGGTGACTCTGATCTGAGACCGGGGGGAACACAGCTCCTGCTCAAACCATCCTTCCACCACCATTAGCCCCTCAAAAAAACCAAGCAACTCTACAACCAACACTCCCAGCTCCCAAATCCATCCCTGTTTTTCCAAAACCAGGAAAAAAGCCTTGGCCCAAGAAAGTGTCTCTGCTCCTGAGGGATCACTAGGACAAACTATGTCTGCTAAGTCCTCCAACGCCACTCCAGCGCCCTGGGAGCGGTGCCGCAGGCCAACAGCGCCGGGGAAGCAGCGCAGCCACCCAGCCCTGTGCCACCCCTGGGATGCTCTTGGAGAGAAGAGCCAGGGTGTGCGGAGCAGAGAGGCTCTGGCTGCACCCAGAATCACAGACTCACAGAATGGTGGGGGTTGGAAGGGACCTCTGTGGGTCACCCAGTCCAACCCCCTGCCCAAGCAGGGTCACCCACAGCAG